GTTGAGTTGGCATTGTACAGAAATGGACAGCCATATTGGTCTAGAAATGTTAATTTATTTTTTTTTCCATTTGTACAGGGGTAACGCACTGTATTAAATATGTAAGGTCATATCTACGTGGGTTTGATTACAGAAACTAATAAAGTATTCTCTAAATAATGAAAAAAAAGAATAAGATAAGACTACAAGAGCAAGAAGCAATTTAAATATGTTCAGGGACCATTTTCATCTTCAGAATTAAGGATTATTTTAATCTTACATCATTGCCTTTTCTCTTTTACTTTCCTTTTTAGTTTTATTTTAGGATTCCCTATTTTTAATGTCCATTCAGAGATTTCTTTAACTGAAATACCGAATAGTTTCTTTGGTGTGAAAAACTATAATAGTACACAGGATCCTAATGAGATAATTAATAATGTGAAATAGGAAGGAAAGGGCTAAAGGTGTAGGGAAAGTGGGAAGGTGGGGGAAAGGTAATAAGGGAGAGGAAAAAAATATGAGAAACTGAAAAAATTGAGATAAAGTGTTTGTAAATGGGGAGGGGAGGAGGGGGTGAAGGGAGGGCAGGGACAAGCGGAAAAAATGAGATTCAAGACCTGTCATGTAAAGGTACAGGATCCCAATAATGAATATAACTGTATTTTATACCTAGATTGTACCAATAAACTCAATAAAAAGAAAAAAAAAGACATTATCATTGTGATTTTCAAAAAGAAAGAAAAAGATAAATCATTGGATTTGGCTTTCTTTTTGTTGACCTCCAAACTTTAATGTTTCCCCAGCCTTACAAATGGTTTTCTATGATATTTTGAAATAGTATTTGGCCTTCCTCCTGGTTTCCTGATATAAACCTTCTAAAACCCTTGAAATCTCCATGGTGCTGAGTGTCCATTACTGGCTAGTGAGGTGACTGGTGTTTGGAGGCTTCTAGACAGCTGTAGGATAGGGATGGGGTTGGTCACAGGAAAGACCAGGGCAAGATTAGAAGAGTAGGACTTTTAGCCCTCTTGGGGGAGGATGAGGGGCTGGAGATTAGATTTATCATCAATGGCCAGTGATTTAATCAACAATGCCTGCCTAAGAAAGCCTCCATAAAAACTGGAAAAGGACTGTTTGGTGAGCTCCTGGGGAGCTAAGCATGTGGCAGTGCCTGGAGGCGGCATGTACCTTCTCCAGTCCTCTGCTCTATGCCATCTCTTCCATCTGGCTGGTCATTTGCAATCTTCACAATATTCTCATATTATCTGAGTAAGTTTAAGTGTTTTTCTAGGTTCTGTGAGATTCTCCCCCCTCCCCCTCCCCCCTCTGTTATTCTGGTCAGAATGACCATGATCAAGAATAAAAGCAATAAATGCTGATGAGAATATAGGGTAAAAATTTTACCCTTGACCTTGCTAGTGGAAATGTAAACTAGAACTACTATGAAAACCAGTATGAAGAGTTCCTCAAAAAGGATTTAGCTCAGTGGTGCCACCACCTGCCTTGCAAGCTCAAGGTCCTGAGTTCGATTCCTGTTACCAAAAAAAAAACAAAACCCAAAACTAAAAATAGACATTCCATTTGAACCAGCTACATCTCTTCTAAGAATAGTCTTGAAAGAATTAAAAACAACATATTATAGTGATTCATGTATACCCAGGTTTAGAGCAGTGCATCTCACAACAGCTAAGCTAAGGAAACAGCCTAAGTGCCTGTTGAGAAGCAAATGGATAAAGAAAATGTGGGAGATATACAAAGCTGAATACTATTCAACCACAAAAAATGCAATCAGGTCATTACAGGAATATGGATGGAATCCGAGCCCATCACTGCTAAGCAAAATAAGTGAGACACAGAAAGTTAAATATTGCATGTATTTTCTTATATAAGAAACCTAAAATATAAGGAAATAAGTAAGTAAAATAATAGAGCGATGATAGGAAATAACAAGGTAGACTCTTGGAGATGTGGAAGGGCTGGGGGAGGGGAGCAGAAAGGGCATGGAAGACAGAGGATGAAAATGATCACACTGTGTTACACGCAAGTATCAATTATTTCACAAAACAGGCATCACCATTCTCTTTTGCAAATAGATTCTAATAAAATTTTTAACATATATCAAAACTATCACTAGTAACTATTCCAAAATAAAAAATGTTTAAAAATCTCTTACCTGAAGCCAAAACAGTTTCCCATGGCGACACACATTAGCTCCTTCTGCAGCCACACTCAGGACACTCTGCTTCTTGATGTGGAGCATCTGGTAAGAAAGGAAGATGCTGCAGGGAACAGACGGGGCACCCTAACGCCGAGAATGGCACACACGGAAACAAAGGCTGCTTCTCCCACACACAGGAATCATTCTTGAACACCAGATTCTCTTTCTCATTTTAGCAAAAGCATTACATCAGCAGAGGATAATTCACTCAGATCCCAACTGCTGCACAGTTAAAAACTAAGACATCTTTATTACTGCTGACACTGCCAACAAAGAATTTTAGTCTTTATGACAAGATTCTGAATGCCATCTGGGCATGCCTATAATCCCAACACTGGGGAGGCTGAGGCAGGAGGATTGCTATGAGTGCAAGTCCAGCCTGGGCTATACAATGAAATGCTATCTTAAAAAAAAAGAAAAGAAGATTCCTCATGCAAATTAAGTTGCCCTAACACAGAGCAATTTACTGTATCTTAAAGGAACACAATATCTACTGTTCAGAATGACAGAAACAAGCTCTAACAGGTACCTCACACCTTAGCTTCATTGAATTACTCAAAACTAAAACAGTGGTATACTCTTGTCCTTTAATTATCCATACTTTTATCCTTTCTCAAAACACTGTAAAGTTCTAAAAGCCTTAAGTATCTACATGATATAAGGTTCTCCCCATTTAACAGGTAGGTAGATAAGTTACTCAAGAACAGAAGGGCACAGTAATTTACGCTTCTTTTTCCTTAAGAAAGTGTGAAATGTTCTACATTCTGAACATTTCTCACCAATGGTAAGAAAAGGGGCCAGGTGTGGTGGCACACACTTGCAATCCCAGTACTCTGAGAATTGAGGCAATTACTGCCTGAGAAATTTAGTGGCTAAGCAAGAGCCTGTCTGAAGATAAAAAAAAAAAATTTTTTGTTTTTTTGGAACCAAGGATCAAACTTGGGACCTCGCACTTACAAGGCAGGTGGCTGAGCTAATCCCCGGCACCCAAAAAAAATTTTTTTTTAAAGGCTGGGAATGTAGGTCAGTGTGAAAGACCTGGGTTCAATCCCCCAGAACCAAGGGAGGGGAAGAAACAAAGAAAAAATAAAAAGAAGATTGAGTTTCGTTAAGGCTATAGAACTGGAAACAAAGACTACACAGCATTTCTCTTTTTTCCTTTTTGGTTTTTTGTTTTGTTTTCTTTTTTGAGACAGGATCTTGCTGTGTAGTTCAGGTTGGCCTCTAACTATCGGGGAATGCTGGGATTACAGGCATGCACCACCATACCCGGCTTTCTACCACGTTTTCTCCTTTCTTTTTCTTCCCCCTCCTTCCCCTTCCCCTTCTCTTACTTTCTCCAGTATGGGGGATTAAACTCAGGACCTTGCACTTGTGAGGCAGGCACAGCTCCACTGAGCTAGATCCCCCCACTCTTTTTTCCTTGGTACTAGGAATTGAACTAAGGGCCTTGCACTTGCTAGGCGGGTGCAGCACCACTGAGCTAAATGCCCCCTGCCACTTTTCTTCACTGCAGTTCTCTCATGTGAGCTTCCCTGCTGCTCTTCCACACAAGGCCAGAATGGTTAGCCCCGTTGCCCTTCATACCTATTCTACCCTCAAGTTCTTTATCTAGATGCACGTAGCAACAGTAGCTCCCTTACCATCTTCAAGGCCCCTATTCCAATGTTATCTCTTCAGAGAAATTTCCTCTGTCCACCTCATATAAGACAGGTCCTCCCTGTCACTCTGTTATCCACACCTTCACAATAATTACGGTCGGTTGGGCCAGCTGTTAAACAATGGTTTGATTATCTAATATTAGAAGCCTAGAACTTTGCCTTGATTATTGTTTTACCCTGGAGCTCAGAAAAATGCTCGGCATATAGCAAGTATCCAAAATATTATGTTGCGTTAATAAGGAAGACATCAAAGATCTTATGATAAGCTGGGCATGGTGGGCACACCTGTAATCCCAGCACTTGGGAAGCTGAGGCAGGAGGATTGCTGTGAGGTCGAGACCAGCCTGGGCTACATAGTGAGTTCCAGGTGAGTCTCAACTACAAAAACAAATCTTATATTAAAAGAACTGACATGACATCAACATGATAACTATAAAGAGACAAGTTTGCAGTGACAGAGGACAATACTTACTGCAGCACCAAACCTCTGCTGGAACTGATCGATGACTGTGTATGTCACCTCCTCCTCTTCTACAAGAAAAGATTGCATTAAATATATTTATCTGGAAGGCCAGGGATGTACCTCAGTAGCTCCACCGCCTGCCTTTATATATTATATAGCTTTATCCCCTTTGACAGAAGGATCCACCAATTTTGGCCATACTCATAAATTCCAATTCTATTGCAAGTCAAATGTTGAAAGTTCTTTCATCATCACCTGTGTTGGTCCCTCTCACAGTGAATACTAATTAACATTCTGTTTATCAGTTGAGAATTAAACAAGTGTCCCACGAATGATAAGCTTGCAATGGAACTGTCTGCTCATTTCCTTGACAACACAGTAATGTTTCCCTACTTATAGATTTATGTCTTGAATACATCGTCTTGTTTTTTGACACAATGTTCATAACAGAAAGTAACAGTTTAACAATAAATGGGCCAGGGGCCGGGGATTTAGCTCAATGGTTCCGGTGCCTACCTCACAAACACAAGGACCCAAGTTTGATCCCCGGTACCAAAAAATAAAAATAAATGAGCCAGGTGCAGTTGTGTACACCTATGATCCCAGCACTCAGGAGACTGAGACAGGAAGATTGCTATGAATTCAAGGCCAGCCTGGGCTACATAGTAAGTTTAAAGCCATCCTGGACTACATAATGAGACCCTGTCTCAAAAACCCAAAAATAAGTAAATAATTTTATTTTGAGGTAGGATCTTACTACATTGCCCAGGATGCCCTCAACACACAATCCTCCTGCCTCAGCCTCATGACTAGCTGGGATTGCAGGCATGCACCACCATACCTGGCCACACAGTCATCTCCCAAAGCCTCCCCTTAGGGATGCCACAGACACTGCCCACATTCCTTTTCCTTCACATCCAAGCTCACTCTCTGTGTGACCACATCTATTTTTAAGGCTTTAAATATCATCTACAGGGCAACTCCTGAATTTCTTTCTCCACCTCAGACCTCTCTCTTTTTATTTGAATTTAAAACTAAGCAGCTTCCCAAAACCTTTTCCATACAATCTTTCCCATTTCAGTTTAACAGCAACTCCGTACTTTCAGCTGCTCAGGCCAAACCTCCAAAGTAATCCTTGACTCCTTTCTTTCACACCTGTACTTGCAGCCTATCCCACAGGCTCCACCTTCAGCACTTCTTACCTACTGTGCAGTTAGCCACAGCGCCTCCCTGCTCGGGTTAGCCCAACAGCCTCTTCACTAGTATCCATGTTCCTTCCCTTGCCCCCTCTCAATGCCCCAGAGTCAGATCATGTCACTCCCCTGGTCAAAGCCCTGTAGCAGAAAACTGAAGTTAAACAGTATCACGTCTAGATAGGTGTGGAGGCTCATGCTTATAATCCCTTATCATGCTTATAATCCCTTATCATGCTTATAATGGTTATAAGAAGCACTCTTGGAGGCTGAGTTAGGAGGAACTCAGCCTGGGAAACCTACAATTTAGCAAGGCCCTGTCTCAAAATTTTAAAAAAATTAAAAAGGGATGGGGATACAATTCAGTGTGAAGGTCCTAGGTTCAAATCCCAGTATTGTAAAAAAAAATTTAAGTATAATAGTATAAAATATGAAACACTTAGGGATAAATATAACAAAAGATATGAAAGACTTGGCTGGGTAAGATTTAGCTCAGTGGTGCCACCACCTGCCTTACAAGCACAAGGTCCTGAGTTCAATCCCTAGTACCAAAAAAAAGAAAGAAAAAGAAAGACTTACACTCCAAGAACTATAAAACATGGTAAAAAATAAGGGACCTGACCAGGTGCGGTGGTGCAAGCCTATAATCCTAGCACTCAAGAGGTTGAGGCAGGAGGATCACCCAGAGTTCAAGGCCAGCCTGGGCTACATAGTAAGTTCAAGGCCAGCCTGGGCTACAGAGCAAGACTCTATAAACAACAAAAGTAACAACAACAATAACAATAACAACAACAAAAACAAAATAGAAGGAAGGAAAGAAAGAAGACAAAAGATATTAAAAGACATGTCACCAAAGATGTTCAGAAGCAAATACATACACAAAAAGATCTTAGTCTTCAGGGAAATACCAATTACAACTACAAGGGGATACTCACTCCTACATGTCTATTAGAATGGCTAATGGGTTTTTTTTTGGCTTCCTCTCATTTCAGAGTAATGATCAAAGTTCCTTCAGGGGTCTACAAACTGTTCTGTGATCATCCATCCAGTTTCCTCTGTTGCTTGTCTCTCTGAGCCAGCGGCACTGCCCTTTCTGCAGGTGTGTTAAGACCCTGGCAGATCCTGCCTCAGGAGTTTGTTCTTTCTTCAGCCTAAAACTTACCTCTCCTAGGGCAGCCATGCCACTCAGATGTTGCCATCTTACCAAGGCATGACCTAGACACTGTGAAATTACAAAACCATCCTTTCTACATCTTATCTTCCTCCTGGCCTTTTTCCCCTCCATCTTTGGTACTAGGATACTATCATGTATATTTTCCTCATTTATTTATCTTTCTTGGTATCTGTCTTTTGCATTGTTGCTCAATGAGGGCAGTAACCCCAATGCCTGGTGCACAATATGCATTCACATATCAAGTAAATGGATCAAGATACTGTATTTGTCTTGTTGTTGCTGTTTTGTTTTTGAGACAGAGTCTCACTATGTACTTTAGGTTGGCCTTGAACTCACTGTGATCTTCCTGCCTCAGCCTTCCTAGTCCTGGGATTACAGGTGTCTGCCCCATACCCAGAATGTTATTTGTCTTCATTCAGAGCCTAGAAACAATGGTTCAGCTGAGCATTTCATACAGAAACTTTTTTTCTTTTTTTCTGAGACAGGGTCTTGCTATGTAGTTCAGGCTGGCCTCAAAATTGTGGCGATCCTTCTACCTCAGCTTCTCAAGTACTGGGATAAACAGGCGAGCACTACCATGCCTGGCTCGTACAGAATCTTGATTCAGGATTATCCCAACTCCAAAGAGTTCTAAACCGTGAAAAAGACAGCCCACACAATTCAGAGTCCCAGCCAGGGATTCGGCTCATTGGTTCTACCGCCTGCCTCATAAGTGCAAGGGCCAGAGTTCAATCCCCAGTACCAAAATTCAGAGTCCCAGGACTTACCTGATGGGCTGCACTTGATATCATTCAGCAGAGAGGTAACTGGTGCTTTAAGGGCAGGTGAAGCCGGCTCACATACATTTAGGTTTCCATTTTTCATTTTTTCCATCCTGGTTCTTTCTGTATTTAAACTATCCTTACTAAAAAAACAAAACAAAAGCCAGGTGAATATGTTCTTTGTTACTGCTGCCACACGCAGATTGTGCTACACACATTAAGAGTAAAGACTGTGGGCTGGGCATGGTGGAGCAAGTCTCTAATCCCAGCACTCAAGAGCTGAGGTAGGAGAACTGCCATGAGTTTGAGGCCAGCCTGGGCTACATAGAGAGTTGAAGGCCGGCCTGAATTACAAAGCAAGAGCCTGTCTCAAAAAACCAAGAAGCGGGAGAGGAGGAGAGGGGGATGGAGGGAGGGAGAAAGAGAGAAAGAGGGAGATTTTCAATGATTAAGAACTGTGGGGCCAGAGATTTAGCTCAGTGGTTTTACCACCTGCCTCACAAGGTCAAGGACCCAAATTCGAGCCCCAGTACCAAAAAAAACAAAACAAACAAACAAAAAAACTGTGGTTCTCCATGGCCATTCATCCACTGCTTATGTGGGTGAAAAGATTCTAGCTAAAGATGGAAGCATGGGAGGCTGAGGCAGGGGGATTGACGTGAGTTCGAGGCCAGCCTGGGCCACATAATACGTTCAAGGCTAACCTGAACTACACAGAAAGACCCTATCTCAGAACAGAAACAAAAAAAAAAAAAAAAAAAAAAAAAAAAAAAAAAAGATGGAAGCCGATATTCATATATCCCTTCTCATTTCTATTCTCTTAGGCTATTTTAGGAATCAAGAAAGTAGTGGATTAGAATTTAATCTTTCTACTCTAATGTGAACATTTAGGAAAATCTCAAAATGAAGAAAATTATCCCATCATACCTAACAGAAGATGTTTCTTCTCTCACAGAACCTTGTTCCACCTCATCTAGTGGTTCCACTGGGGGGGAAAATGGTTTTCAGTTTACAATCAGAAATAAATTACCTTCCCCATTCTCACACACCCAGTTTGACAATGACCGCAAACAGTAACTGGAAATTAATCAGTCCACATTAAATATCAGGCCTTCCACAGACAGCAGGGAACAGAGTAGAAAAACTACCCACAGTGCCACTGATTCCCAATTTTACGTCCTCAGCTTCTTGGTTACTTAATGGGACTAGGAACTGTTTCCTTTACCATTTTTCCCCAGGTGTGTCTGTGGTTGTTCACACTGGTTCTTGGGCGGCGAGGGGAAGGGTCGGTGGTGGTGGTGGAGACCAAACCTAGGCTACATCCCAGCCCTTTGTTTTATTTTGAGACAGTGTCTCACTAAATTCATAAATTGCCCAGGTCAGACTCCAACTTGCAATTCTCTTATTTAAACCTCCCAGAGTGCTGGGATTACAGGCAGGCTCCACTACACCCAGCTAGAGATATTTATCTTACTCAACCCAGTGCTAACCCATCTTTCCCTCATTCCGTCAGCTGTTTTACATTGTTTTACTTTTCATTTTGGAGAGGGCATTACATTATTCACAGCTGTCTCACTGTCACTCTCACAGGCTGATGCACTTACAGTTCATCGATGTGGAAATAATAAAGGTAACAAAAGGTTGTGGGGAAATCACAAAAGACATCAGAGAAACATTCCACAGAGATTCCAAAACCACTTATTTTTAACCTAACTGTGCAGGAAATACAGAGAAACACTATATTTTATTGATTCTAAGATGTGTATTTTTAAATAGTTCTAAAACTGGGTGTGATTTATAGTAAGAGCACAAGTGCACACTAGAGAGACAGGGATGATGGAGGAAGAGGGAGAGAGAGGGAGACACACATGGGGGGACTGTGAGAACCAGGTGTGGTGGGGCATGCCATGCCTATAGTCCTAGCATATGGGAGGCTGAGGTAGGGGGACCACAAATTTGAGTCCACCCTGAGCAATTCAGTGATTTAGGGAGACTCTGTGTCAAAATAAAAAATTAAAGAGGGCTGAGGATGTAGCTCAGTGGGAAAGGCCTTGGGTCTGAACCCCAGGTTTCATTTATATACCACCATCATTGCCATTATAAAAAGTTGTTCAGGGGAGAAAAAGCATTTCTCAGTGGCACATTCATTTGGTGAAATCTTCATTTCTCACAAAGCAATCTTTCCAACTATAGGAAGTTTCTCTTTTGGAACAGGGTCTCACTATATACTTAAGGTTGGCTTTGAACTCACTAGGTAGCCCATGCTGGCCTCAAACCTGAACTCAAGTTGATCCTCCTGCCTCAGCCTCCCAAGCACTGGGATTACAGGTGTACCATCATGTCCCACCACAGAAACTCTTTTTTGGGGGGCGGGGGTATGGGGAATGAACTCGGGTCCTTGCACTTGTGAGGCAGGCTGCAGCATCACTGAGGTAAATCCCTGGCTCTCGGAAACTCTTGTTTGCAGGAATCCTTTCCTTTTTTTTCCCCTCAGATCTTCCCTTCAGTGGGTATGCTAAACCCTGAGAGGTCCTAGGAGTTCCAATTCTCTGTCCCTGTTCTCTGAACTGATCTTTACTCTTCCCTGAAGGACAGAAGGAGAAAGCTTGCACCCCTTTCTCTTATCCTACCTGACTTGTCTGAAGGGCACTGATCAGATGAGCTTCTATAGCTACTCTATCAATTAGACCTATTCCTGCTCAAATAAGATCAGATTGCTTCCTGTAATCCCAAAATCCAAAAAGCTTTAAAAACCAAACTCTTGTAACTCTTTTGGGCACAAAACCCGACCTGACAAACTATTTATAGTCCTTCTTTATTCCACATTGATTATTATCGACCTGTTTCTCTGGAGAAATGTGCTGTACTGTAGCGAGTTACCTGACCCTTTTGAGGTGTTATATAACATGAACAAATAGACCAGAAGTAGCGAACCAATGGCATGCATACTGCAGTGGGCATGCAGAGTCCTCTCTGTTGGCATCTGGGCCAAGACACTCCAGCAGCCAAGTGTTGGATAACAGCACACATAGGGGCCATGCATATGGGACTAACAAATGACCTGAGTGCTGTGTACACATGTTCCTCTCAAACTAACAAAGTATAAGTAAAGGTTTGACAAATTATTAGGATGCATACAATGGCATAGATCACATTAACTGTGCTAAAGCATGCCAAAGGCCAGGACACCACTCCTATAATCCCAGCACTCAGGAGGCTGAGGAAGGAGGGATCACCAGAAGTTCAAGGCCAGTTTGGGCTACATAGTGAGTTTAAGGCCAGCCTGAATTACAGAGTGAGATCTGTCTCCAAAAACAAACAAACTACAAACAAAGCATGCCAAAAGCCAACTTTTACCTTTCTATAAAAAGTTGTATTATTGAAAGCTGATATTGTGTTTTTCTTTTAAGACAAAAGATGTTAATGAGTCATTTGTTTTCTAAACTAAACCCTCAGTGTGAAGGTTTAATTGCAGTGATGGCACTTGGCAATAAACAAGCGGGTTTTGGGTTGTAGTTTGGGCACTTGGTCTCTAAAAGGTTCACCATTACTGATATATACTACGTATTATGTTTTCTAAAAATCTAGAACAATTCTGGATTCTGAGATACTTGGTTCCAACTTTTCAGAAAAGGAATAGTGGATAGATGGTGAACCTGTGGGGTTTAAGTAGCTCACCAAGTGAGACTGTCTTATTTTTCTCCTGCTGAGACAAAATACCCAACAACCATAAGTTAAAGGAGAGGTTATTTTGGCTCACAGTTTGTAGAGGTTTCAGTCAGCTGGCTCCAAGTCAGGGTGGCATGGCAGAGGTGCATCACAGAGGACAAAGAGTCCATAATAAGCAGGCAGGGAAGAGCACATTAGCCCTCTTTCTGTCCCTGTAGTCTATGGAGGCTACTTGGGCACTCACACCCTTAATCCTGGATAGAACTATGCCAAACCAATCAGTGGACGGATTTAGTAATCAACACCCTTCATCCCAGCACCACATGCTCCAGATCCAGCACTCTGAAAAGCACTCCCTATGACTGCATGAGGCTTTGAGCAGACATCTGAACACAAGCCATAATAAAGACAATCCTTTTGTGTCCAAGTTACTGGCTGCCTGTGGCCAGTCTCAGGGATGAGTAGCAGCAGACCTCACACTGTCAAACCAAAATGATGCACATTCTGTTTCTAGAGCGCCTACCAAAATGCCAAAGAAGGGTCAATGCTCAAATGACAACTTTTAAAGAGTCCATACATGTAATTATTAATTAAAAGCAATACAATACCCTATTTTATGTTTTTGTTTTGCTTGTTGAGATAGGGTCTCACTGTGTATCTCAGGCTGGTCTTAAACTCACTATCCTCCTGCCTCAGTCTCCCGAACACTGGGATTACAGGCATGCACCACCAGGACTGGCCCTATTTTATTTCAAATACTGGAACAAAGAAGGTCAACAGAGTTTGTGACCACAGATCCCAGTACTAGTACTCAAGGAATACAAAACACTCACCATTTACAATCTCATGCCCAAAAAACATCTTCACTCCTGGGGCACTCTGGCCTGTTTCCACATTCTTCACTGTCAAGGAAATTCACTTGGTTAATAAAAAATCACATTTTCCTAGATAAGAAAACATCGCACTTCTTTAAAATTGCCAAGATGTGAATTTTTATAAAAATCTCCACATTATTTTCCCTGAAGAATAAAGAGTCAATAATAAATTGCAAAACTACAGCTTTGAAATAAGTAGTATCAAGAACAGAGAAACATAACCAGGAGACTAAAAACTCCACTTAAATTATTCATGGCAGAATGAGCCAATGTGAAGACAGAACATCAGATACAGAAGACAGGATTATAGTTAGTGACCATGAAAAGAGAGATCTCTTAAAAATAGCAAGGAACCATGAGAAATCAATCCAGCAGCTCCTAGATGATGCAAAGAATGACATAAGACTGTAAGAGTCTACAAAAAAGCAGGAGAAAATACAAATGACATAAAAACATCTGTTCACAGAATTAATGACAGAAAACTTCCCAAACAGATGGGAAAAATTTGACATACAGATAAGTGAGGCATATAGGACTCCAACTAGTCATGATCAAAAAAATCTATACCTAGACATATGGTAGTCAAGATCCCAGAAACCCAACAAAGCAAAATACTACAAGCAGTTAGAGAAAATAAACAAATCACGTACAAAGGAAAGCCCATCAGAATCATAGCACTTTTCAACACAAACCCTCAAGTCAAGGAGAGCTTGAAGTGAGGTATCCCAAGCCGTAAAAGAAAACAACCTCCAACCTAGATTTATGTATCCGGCAAAATTATCTTTCAAATTTGATGGAGAAATAAGATAATTCCATGACAAAGAACACTTGAGAAACTTCATGAATACCAAACCAGCACTCCACACAATTCTAAATAATACCCTAGAAAAAGACAATGAAGGTCACAGTTCCATAAGGCCCAACAGAATAAAGCCATCAGGCAAAACAAGAAATTAAAGGGGAAAAAAACAAAACAAAACAAAATTAAAGGGAGAGGGCGGAAAAATAAAAAATAAAAGAGCCAAAAACAGGAAAATAATATGACAAGGATAAGTCAATACGTATCAGTTTAACCATCAATGTTAATGGCTTCAATTCACCAATCAAAATAAATAGACTGGCAGAATGGATTAAGAAGCAAAATCCAACAATATGCTCTATACAAGAAACACACCTAACTAAAATAGAAATTGAAAATAAAGGATGGAAAACAGTTCTCTGTGCAACAAGAACCCAGAAAAGAGCAGAGGTAGCTATCTTATTTGCAGACAAAGTGGATTTCAAACCAAAACTAATTAAGAGAGACAAAGAAGGTCACTACATCCTTGTAAAGGGAACAATCCAAGAGGAAGAGATGATAATCATAAATATATATGCACCAAATACTAATGTCTCCAACTATACAAAACAAATATTAATGGACATGAAAACCCAAATAAGCACTAATAAAATTGTAGTGGGAGACTTCAGTACCCAATGTCACAAACAGATCATCCAGACAAAAGATCAACAACGAAATACTAGAACTAAACCAAGCTTTTGAACAAATGGACTTAACAGATGTCTATGGAGTGTTACACCCACAAAATCAGAATATATATTCCTTTCGGCTGCACACAGGTCATTCTCCAAAATAGACCACATACTAGCTGATAGAACATGTTTAAGTAAATGCAAAGGAATTGAAGTTATCCCCATATATTATCAGACTGTACAGAACAAATAAAATGGAGATCAACAGTCTAAGAATCACTAAGAACTCCACAAACACATGGAAAAACACTCGCCTGAACAACCAATGGGTCACAAAGGAAATTAAAGAAGAAATTAGCCAATTCAATGATAATGCCAATACAACATACAGGAAGAATCTATGAGACACAATAAAAGCAGCTCTACGAGGGAAATTTATAGCAGTGAATGCCCATACTAGGAAAACAGAATGAGTTCAAATAAACAACCCAATGCTGAACTTCAAGCTTCTAGAAAAAGAAGAGCAAGACAAACTCAAAGCTCATACAAGGGAGAAAATTATAAAGATCACAGGAGAAATCATTGCAATGGAGATTAAGAGAATGATACAAAAAAATCGAACTGAAGAGCTGTTTTTTTGGTGGGAGGGCCTGGGGATTTACCTCAGTGGTTCTGTCACCTGCCTTACAAACAAGTATAAGGACCCAAATTCAACCCCTGGTACCAAAAAAAAGTCTTTCAAAAGAATAAATAAAATCAATAAACCCTTAGCCAATCTTTGATAAGGTTCTTTTCTTTATTATTAAAAAAGGAAAGTGGGCTGGGGATTTAGCTCAGTGGTTCCACCGCCTGCCTTGTTCGATCCCTGGTACAAATAAATAAATAAATAAATAAATAAGTTTTTAAAAAAAGGAAAGAAAAGGCTCATATCCATGCAATTAGAAATGAAAAAGGTGAAGTTACAGCAGATCCAGAAGAAATCCAGAGGATCATCAACACCTACTTCGAGTACCTATACTCTAATAGGATGGAACACACAGAAGTGGACAAATTCCTAGATACATATGAATTACCAAAGTTGAATGAAGAAGATATAAAAATTCTAAACATCCCAATTACAATCAGTGAAATTGAAAATGTAATTAAAAAATTATAAACAAAGAAAAGCCCAGGTCTTGAAGGCTTCACTGCCGAATTCTACAAGACATTTAGAAAAGAACTATTGCCACTACTTTAAACTCATCAATGAAAGTAAAAGGGAAGCAATATTTCTAAATTCATTCCTGGAAGCAAATGTTATGTTGATTCCAAAAGCAGAGAAAGACCCAACCAAAAAAGAGGCCGACAGGCCAATCTCCCTAATGAATATAGATGCAAAAATCCTCAATAAGATACTCGCAAACAGAATACAGAGGGTCATCAAGAAGATCGTACACCCCAACCATGTCAAATTTATCCCAGGGATGCAAGGATGGTTCAACCTATGTAAATCAATCAATATAATATACTATATTAACAGAGCCAAAGACAAAACCCATATGATCATCTCAATAGATGCAGAAAAAATGTTGAACAAAATCCAACACCCATTCATGATTAAAAAAAACCTACAAAAAATTGGAACAGAAGGTCTTTTGGTTTTGGTTTTGGTTTTGGTTTTTTGAGACAGGGTCTCACTCTGTAGTTGAGACTGACCTGGAACTCACTATGTAGCCCAGGCTGGTCTTGAACTCCCAGCAATCCTCCTGCCTCAGCCTCCCAAATTCTGGGATTAAAGGCATGCACCACCATGCCTGGCTAGAATAGAAGGTCTTCATCTCAACCTGATTAAGGCTATCTATGAAAAATCAACAGCCCACATATTAAATAGTCAAAAACAACAATCTTTCACACTAAAATCAAAAACAAGACACGGATGTCCACTACCTCCACTCCAGTTCAAGATAGCTCTGGAAACACTAGCCACAGCAATTAGACAAGAGAAAGAAATAAAAGGAATAAAGATAGAAAAGGAAGTAATTAAACTGTCATTATTTGCCAATGATATGATCCTCTACATAGAAGATCCAAAAAACTCCACCAGAAGATTTCTAGACTTAATTGACTGATTCAGTAAAGTAGCTGGATACAAGGTCAACACTCAAAAATCGTTGAAACTTTTTTTTTCTTTTGGTACCGGGGATCGAACTCAGGTCCTTGCACTTGTGAGACAGGTGGTGGAACCACTGAACTAAATCCCTGGCCCAACACTCAAAAATCAATAGCCTTCCTGGGCTGGCAATTTAGCTCAGCAGTTCTGCCACCTGCCTTGCAAGGACAAGGTCCCAAGCTCAATCCCCAGTTCAAAAAAAAAACAAAAAAAAACCAATAGCCTTCTTGTACACAGAATAACAGACTTACTGGGAGATAAATTAGGGAAACAATTCCTTTCACAATATCATCCAAAAAAAATTAAGCCAGGCGTGGTGGCAGACGCCTGTAATCCCAGCACTCAGGAGGCTGAGGCAGGAGGATTGCTGTGAGTTCAAGACCAGCCTGGGCTACATAGTGAGTTCCAGGTCAGTCTCAACTACATAGTGAGACCCTGTCTCAAAAAACAAACAAATAAATAAATAAATAAACAAAAAAATGAAATATCTAGGAACCAATCTAACAAACAAAGCAAAAGACCTCTACGTTGAAAACTACAGCACTCTGAGAAAAGGGATCAAAGAGGACATAAGAAAATGGAAAGACACCCCTTGTTCCTGGGTAGGAATAACCAATATGGTGAAAATGCTCATACTTCCAAAACTGCCATATAGATTCAATGCATTCCCTATTGAAATCCCAACAGTAAATTTCACAGAACTAGAGAAAACAATCCAAAAATTCATTTGGAACCACAAGAGACCTAGAATAGCAAAAGAGTTCTAGGCAACAGAGACATGACAGGGGGTATCACAATCCCCAACTTGAAATTATACCACAAAGCCATTATATAAAAAAAACAGTATGGTACTGGCAAAGAAACAAACCTGATGACCAGTGGAATAGATTAGAAGATGCAGAAACAACTCCAGATATACTCAGCCACCTCATCTCTGACAAAGGAGCCAACCATCCTAACTGGAGGAAAGATAGCCTCTCTAACAAATGGTGTTGGAAAAACTGGATTTCAACCTGCCAAAGATTAAAACTAGACTTATATCTTTCACCACGCACTAAACTAAAATTGAAGTGGATTAAGATCTAAATATTAAAACAGAAACACTAAACTTGCTGGAAGATAAATTAGGCAGAACTCTTGAAGACATTGACATAGGATAAGACTTTATATAAAAAAAAAACCTCAGTAGCATGGGAATTAGCACAAAGAATCAATAACAGATCTCATCTTACTAAAAAGGTTCTGCACTTCAAGAGAAACCACCAATAGAGAAGGGACAACTTGCAATGTGGGAAAAAAATTTTTATCAGCTATTTCTCAGACAAAGGACTACTATCTAGAAAATATAAAGAACTTTAAAAAAAAATCACACCCCTCAAACATAAAGACCTAGTTAAAAAATGAA